CCGGATTTGACACTATACGGGGAAAGGATTCCCGTCCAGGACCAAGCTCGTTTCCTCGGCGTCATTTTCGACAAAAAACTTACATTCATACCACACATCAAAGACCTTCGTGTGAGGTGCCAGAAAGCGTTAAACGCTTTGAAAATTCTATCAAATCCGGAGTGGGGCGGGGACTCAAAACACCTTCTCCACTTGTACATCTCCCTTGTCCGGTCCAGGCTTGACTACGGCTGTCAAGTCTACGGATCGGCAAAACCACACGTCTTAAAAATACTAGATCCAATACAGAACCAAGGACTCCGCCTCGCTCTGGGGGCTTTCCGCACTTCTCCGGTGGAGAGCCTCCAGGCCGAGGCCAACATTCCACCACTCTCACTCAGACGCACACAACTCTCACTACAATACGCAGTTAAACAGAGCTCAACACTGGAAAATCCAGCGCACAACAGCATTTTTCAAACAAATCCAGAAACCATAAACAGATTCCAAAACAACGAAAAACTCATCAAACCTTTCGGCCTCAGAATCCTTGAGGACCTCAAAAACTTACACTTTTCCAAACAAGACATCCAACAAATTCTTTTCCCCGACCTCCCTCCGTGGCACCTCACCAAGGCAAAAGTAGATTTACAACTGACCACACACAACAAAGAAAGCACAACCACCAAAACTTTTCAAGCAGAATACAAAAAACTAATAGATAAATACCCCGGTGCGGAGCTCATCTTCACGGATGGCTCCAAAAAAGACAATGAAGTGGGCGCCGCAGCCCTATCTCCCAACAATACACACCAGAGGAGACTCCATCCTGAAGCCTCCATTTTCACTGCGGAGGCCACTGCCATTGACATGGCACTGGACTCTGTAGAAAATTCCCCTAACAAATCTTTCCTTATCCTTTCTGACTCTCTGTCTTGCATCACCTCACTCACAAACTACACACTCCTACACCCAAAAATAGTTAGGCTACAACAGAAAATCCATACACTATCCGAAACATGAAAAAACATCATGTTCGCATGGATACCCAGCCATGTGGGCATCCGAGGAAACGAGCAGGTAGACGACCTGGCGAAGAAAGCTTCATCCCTTCTGCTGGGATCAACGACAAACACTCTCCCACAGACTGACTTTAGAAATAAAGTCAAAAAGTACACCTCCAGTCTGTGGGAGAGCCACTGGGAAGACCAGAAAAATAATAAATTATATGAAATTAAACCCAAACTAGAACAGCGAAATCCTTCGGATCTCTCCAGAAGAGACGAAGTCATTTTTACTCGATTGCGCATCGGACACACGGCCCTGACCCACAAATACCTCCTACAGGGAGAGGAGAAGCCGTTCTGTGTCGGATACGACACAGATTTTACCATTAGACACATTTTAACAGAATGTCTAGACTTTGGAGAGATCGGAAGGAAATATTATAAATGCAAGAAATTGCAGGATATTTTTTCCGTCGTTGTTCCCAGCAGAATTTTAAATTTTATAAAGGCCATTGGCCTTTATGGCGAGTTGTAGAGTGAATTTGATATTATAAATTTTTTTTATTGTTACTTAAAAGTTGTTTTAGATCACAAATGTATTTACACCGAATTTGAATATTTTAACTTTTTAGCATTTTAAAGTAAATTAGTTAGCCAGTCGTGAAGTGAACTTTTGCAGAGGTGAACAACTTGTGTTTCGCGCGCTCATATGACCTTAGCAGTTGCGAGCGCCGTAAAACCTTATACTATACATACATACAATCCAGAACGATCTCAAAGACATCGATTTTTCTGAAGACATAATCGAGCCCTTTGCCATGTCCAGCGTACCTCCATGGCATTTAACCAAACCAAACATAAATACTTGTCTTGAAAAACACAACAAAAAGTCTACAGACAAAACGACATACCTAAATTCGTACAAACAGCTAATAAATAGATACCCTGATACAGAGAAACTCTTTACAGACGGATCCAAAAATGACTCCTCAGTAGGAGCTGCTGCCCTTGCATCGCCACACAGTTAAGCTTAAGGAAACTCCATCCAGAAGCCTCAATCTACACTGCTGAGGCTACAGCTCTTGAAATGGCCCTAAATATAATAGATCAATCAACCAAGTCTACTTTCCTAATCCTTTCAGACTCTCTCTCTTGTCTGAAATCTTTAGAGGGCTCTGACACCTCCGACAACAAAATTTTAAAACTTATAATTAAACTGCATTTTCTACATCAGTCTAGAAAAACTATTAGAATAGCTTGGCTTCCAAGCCATGTAGGCACTCATGGCAACGAAGCCGTTGACCAATTTACCAAAGAATCTCTAAAACTACCTGAAAACAAAAATAGTAAAATCCCTTTCTCTGACATGAAACCGAAAGTAAAAGAACACATCACATCCTCCTGGTCCCAAATTTGAAATCAACTAATACACAACAAACTCCATTACATTCAACCGAAACTGGCGCCCAGGCAACCACTGTCTCTCCTACGAAGAGAAAAAGTAATTTTTACCAGATTAAAGATAGGACACAGGCACATCACGCACAAACATTTACTTGAAGGAGAGGAAGCTCCTTTTTGCGTGGCGTGCAACACAAATTTCACAGTTCGGCACTTCCTAACGGAATGTGTTGAATTTAATGATGTTCGTAAGAAATATTTTAAAGGTAAAAATATCAAAACCCTTTTTGACATTGTAGACCCTAGAAAAATGTTAAGTTATGTAAAAGAAATAGGACTATTTAATAGAATATGAAAATATATAGTTATTGTTATCGGTGTATATATATATACATATTTACACGGAAATTAATATTTTATATACAAATGTAAATAAGTCTTTTTCATATTCACAAAAAATTTTAATAAATGTCTGTCCGTCTTTTTAGCATAATGAAAATAGTGTGATCGTGTGCGGTTGCGAGCCCCGAAAGACTCTTACTAAAAACACGTCTGATTTTGTAGCGGTGAAACCTGTTGGATGACCAAAATTGTGTCGATAGTGCCATAAAACATCTACTCAATCAATTAATCAATCAATCCCTTCGTACATGTTTCTGATGAGGTTAACCAACTTGTGTGGGATTCCGTGATGTCTCAGTATCTTCCAGTGTTGCTCGGTCTATACTAGACTATACTGTCAAAGGCCTTCTCATGGTCAAGAAAGTTGATGATCAACTGAGAGTTCCACTCCTGGGATTGTTCCACAATGATCCTCAGCATAGCAATTTGGTCCGTGGTTGACCGATTTTTCCGAAAACCAGCCTGTTCATAGAAACAAAAATAAAAGCTGGAAAAGTCTGGTGCTGATTCAGTGTCGCTGGAAAGCTAAAAATTATTCTTATAACCCAATTACGAGAAGTCATCCCTGTTATAAAGTCAGTTTGCAAGACCTAGACTTTGCGTTTTAAAAAAAGTAAGGAACTTCTTGAGTGTAAAGATACCGTTCGAGAATTACATTGTAGATATATTCTGGCTCTAAAATAGGTATGTACTTTTTCATAAAGAGACTTCAGGTTAATTTTTATAAACTTTTGAAAACATATGCAAATATTCATGATTATATTAGACACATGAATTTGTATTTTGAGGAACTACTTCATAGCAAATTGTATGCCAGATGGATAAAAATGCAAAATTACAGCTTTCTATTATATACGCAGATACCATCTTTTCTGAGTATCTGCACTAGTGTTATGTCGTTCATGTTCCAATAGTTCGACAGTTTTTGTCGTGCCCTTTATTTTATATTGATTTTTTTACATTCACCATGTAAAAAACCCCCAACAATTTAGCTTTGCCAACTTCAGCGCGTTTAACGAAATAACCAGACAAATTACAATGTCAACTCTTTTTTGAGTTTCAAGAGCAAAAATGGAAGTTTTGGATGCTTTGAATGACAATTACCATAAATACAAGGATACACCTAAAACTATACGTTGAAAAGTACCAAAAATCAAGTCAGCCCGGACAGAGCGGGTGCATGGTGCTGACCCCTGTGACCCCGACAAGATAAGACGCTCGGCGGGGAACCCCCCGCAGCCACTAAAATTCTACTGCCGTTGCGCTGTGGAGTAAAAACAATATCCTGAAGTTCTGAAGTTTCAGCCATACACCTTCATGAACAAGAATTTCATCTACTTGAATGTTGACTTTCGAGATTAATTCATGTCGTATTATTTCACCAGCTGAGAAGTAGCACTAGAGACACAGTAAATACAACAAAATCAACAATTAACAGCATACAATCTGTATGTTTGTTTAGAAACACAAGTTGATTACATGAAATACTCTCAAAAAGTGTGACCCATAGAAATGAGACACCATTGTATAATTTCAAAATCAGGTGAGCTGGCAGTTTGAGCTGTCATTGATGCATTTGTTGCAGATTACACAAACTTTGTACTCTATTCTTTTGGTAACAGGCAGCCAGTGCAGGCCTTTCAGGATTGGCTTTATATAATCAAACTTTTTCTCTTGAGCACATCTGTGCTCTTGAAAAACTGAAGCTGATGTTCAGCGGCACTTGTCTTCAAAGCATTCTTTCCTTTCAAATATTTATCTATTTGTGCTGAGAAACAAATGCGATCTTGAAATCCTGTTTAGACCTATAGAATCTAGATCTAGATCAAGTTTGTTTACAAAAAAAAAGAACACTCTAATTTCCGGCTACTGGTGAGAGGGAGATAAACGTTGTCAGCTCGGTTTAGTTTAATTTTTTTCAGCAGTTCTACATCTGAAAGCATAATAATGCTGCAAAATTCTGCAAAAAATCAAAATTTCACTGCCATTTTTCCGCAATCGCGCCACGGTTGCAGCTCCCATGAAAAACTATGATGACAGGTAGATGTCCTATGTATATAAGCTGTACATAATGACAGGGCAGATGTGAATTTGCCATATTGTTAATTTAATGGACATTTGCTTTGGAGTACGATTGCTTTGACTTTTTTTACATCTCTGATTTCTCTGGCGTCTTCATAATTGTCATGATTGACCTTCTGTATATTTCAGATACAATCATTGTGCAAGATGAAGGAGGCAACATTTTTTCATGAAGAGGATGGCTTCGACACAGTAATCAAGTGGATTGATGTGGATCTGTCAGAGTATAGCAGGACAGCAAAGAGGAGCAAAGAGGACAAATACTACTTGTTCTTTCACAGAATCTGTGTGCAGCTGAATTGCTCAGTGGTTGAAGAGAAAGTTGCTCTGTCTGTAAGTTGAGTTGGGTGTCACTTTGCTGTGGTGGACAATAGTAATGTTAAAGTCATCATCTGTCACATGACTCTTTTCCAAAGTCCTCCTGATTTTACGCAAATTTCATAATGAGATTCCAACCAGATATCTCCAGGTTGATGTTAATCTGATACCAAGCATTTCATTTTCCCAAGGTCAACTGTGTTCGATTTCCTTAATCTTCCCTTTGAGTTTGAAATTATTCTCCAGAATGACTAAATTTCACCTGAAAAGTTGGGAGCTGTAAACCTCTGATATGATGTAATGATCATTTTTATAGGACACTTTGATTGTAACTCTTTTCTACAAAATGACTAATCGGACAAGACATTTCTGGATCGATAACAACAAAAACGACTAGACATTTAAAAACCCAACCTTCTTGCTGCACTCTTGGGCTTGAATATATCAATTCAACAGGCTTTCTTATATGGCTTTTAAGCCTGACTTTCTTCTTTATTTCAACATTGGCATACTTGTTTTTTGACTGTATTAGTTAAGGTCTAAAAACCATCAGCAGCTTTTGTGCTAATTGTGATAAGTTGCATATTGTCTTGTCATGATGTCAGTCGAAATCTTAATTCTGAATTTGAATATCATAATTAGCCAAAGAACTGTGAGTTGCGCCTCTGAAAAAAATTGATTATGTTAATGTTGAAATGTGCAGTATACGCACATCATAGTATATTACAAGCATAGCCTGCTTCCTTCCTACTCCGCTTTTGCCCGTTTTATATATTTTTTGTGTGCACAGGCTTTGAGGAATAGAGTTACTGGGAATAGAAAAAAAAGATAAATAGTACTTGGTAATACTGATGAAGTATTCTTTAAAGTAATGTCATTCTGGCGTGCAATAGAAGAACATTTTGAACCCATCAAAGTAAGGAAGTCTTAATTTTGCATTCATAATCACGGAAAGGAAAAGAAAAATGCTTTTGTACGTGGAGAACACAGAATGCTTGGGATGCAGGAGCATCAAAATATGACTGCAAATTTTCCTGAAATGTGATACAATTTGTCGCCCATCTCACAAAAGGGCGTATCGTCAAAATTACCGGTTTTGAGTTAACACCACCATGATGTGTCCGGTAGTGAGATCTATCTTCTCTCAAAACGGCGTATCGATAGCTTTAAAAATGGCGGAGTTATGAGCAAAAAACATTTAGCCCTATAGCTTTCGGGCAGGAAACTGCATCTCACATAGAGTCGTATGCCTTCTTACGCCCCTTTGTGAGAATACATACGGAGGTATGTGACCGCATACGCCATGGTATGAGATGTTTCCTTTTGTTTTCTCACTTGTAAATGAGGGGGATGCATCTAGTTTCATGTTTAGTAGTCTTGCGATTCTTTCTCGCTGCATCATTGAGGAGGGACTTTTGTACGCTTCCTTACCATTAGTTCAAGTTGACAGTGTTGTTTTTGGAACCTGTGCTTTAAATTTCATCCTTGCTTTCAGCGTTTGGTGTTCATGTACCCTTATAGTGATAGTATCTTAGCTCATTTGTAAGCTTATAAACATTCACTTTTTAAAATATTTTCTACAAGTAAAAGTTTTAATTAGGTCCATGCGTCCCCAAAGATGTGGTATTGCAGAAAGTTCTGATTATATTGACGATTTAGATGCTGACCCGTCTTTCCAACCTGGTTTCTGTGTCATGCAAGAAGGATAATTTGCAGCTTGTTTAAGGTGTGTATTGCTCCTGTGCTATACATACTGTCACTTTGTGGAAGAAACAGGCTCATGGTAGTCTTTAAGCAGAACCACATAGCATCGTGAGTAGAAAACGGATAAAGCCAGAAGAGAATAGCTCTGTTGTCGTTGGACTCAACCTGAAAATTTCATGACAGAAGGTGCTGTCAAAGAAGTGACTGTTCAGAAAGGTCCACAGTCCAATAAGTATAAAGAAGCTAACCACAAAGGACATTTTGGAGAGGAGTTCCTTAGCCCTATAACGGCAACACATTTTGGCGCGCACAAGATTTGAGACAGGTATGAATTTGAAAGCTATGAGAAATATGGTTGAAGCTGTCACACTATTGAAACGCACGAGGAAATGTTCCAGCAATATTACAGACTTGAAGACAATTATCTATAAAGTGAGTTCGTTGTTGGTCACACTGACTGCTCTGAATCTATGAAAGGGACAAGCTGTTCTCACCAACAGAAGACCAATACATATTACTTGACTGTCGATGGAATTCCACCATCTATAAGACAACATCAGCTGAAACTATTGAAGTAGAAAAAAGAGGATGATGATGCCCAGCAATTGTCAAAGAAAGAGATGAAAAACTTCCCACCCTTATTAATGCTCATATTGCGAGGTTCCCCGCTTTTGACTCACATCACTACTGTAGGTTACTCGAGTTAGAAGAAGGACTTGCACTCATGCCTTAACTGAAGAGGAGACAAAACAAAGGCTGAACAATAGTATCCACGGAAAAGCCAAAGTAAGAAAACTTAAAGAAGATGCTTTCAGCTGCAATATAATCATAAACTGAAGTGATATTATGGAACAGACTCAACAGAGACTATTCAATAACTATTTATTTCCTACAAACCTACAGTACCAAACAGTGATCTTTAAGCCCCAGAAAAATCAAGTCAAAGACGTTCCATTGAACAGCCTAAAAAAACTCCCTAAAGCCAAGTACACTTTTCAACAGACTGGTGGAACACACAATGTTCTTCTAACTCTGCCACATTTATCTTATGACAGGTTACCACTTGCACTGTGTTTTCGCATTGAAGTGCCTTTCCAGATAATTTTAATCTTTCTTAACAAACTCTTGCACAATATTTCATTGATAAACAAAGTATTATGGGCTAAAACGTTTATAAGGTATTACACAAATTCATTACACATGCTCAGAATTTATCTTTCTACTAATATTCTTGTTGTCTAAGGATGGTGCGCAGTCCTGAATGAAAGGATCTGTGCAGTACTAGTAATTTTATACTCATTGTATTGTGCAAATTCTTAAAATACCTTGAAGACAAGTAAGACAGCTTAACTCTTTAAGTTATTTACATTTCATGTCATGGAGACCCCAAATCTGTTTCATTTTCTTTTCCTCGTTGCTTTTCCCCCCCGAAAATAGATCAATTTGACATATTCAGTTGATAAACCTGTTCAATAATCAAGAAAAAAATCCCTTTTCTCTTTTATTCTATTACCAAACAATGTGGCGTATTGTCAATCTTGTGTCTTTACGGACATAATTATGTTCTCACAAACAGGCGTATCAGCTATTTTAGACCATTTCTTAAAAAACTGATGACGCAATATCTATAACCATTATAGGGAATGATAAATCGGTGGTTGTACTATCTTGCCAAAAATTTAAACGGAAAAGCAAATGGTGACGCCACAGCAAGAACTTAAAAAGTGTCCAAAACTTTAAAACGCTCTCCTGAAAAATGCGAAAAATGCCCTTACGCCCTTTTTTGATATGGACGACGAATTGGTATCTCTCTGAAATGTTGAAATTTTCGTCACTTTCTCTCTTACCAATAACTGAATTAGTTGTATATACCTTTGTTTACCTATGTTAATCTGTTGTTGAGTAAGCATTCTCAGAAAATTGATCACATTTTGTTCGCAATCAAAACTGTTGAAAGCAACCCACTTGAGAATGTGACCAAGCTAATGAGTACTGTATGAACACCTGAAGATGAAAAATGTTTTCAGTAAATCTCTCCTTAAACTATTTGTGTTTGTTTATAGTTAGCAAGTTGTTCAATTCATTTTGTGTCAAATAACCATTTCCTTTGCTTTTCTTCTTATTTGGCTGCTGTTATTTGTGCATGGCTGTATCTGAATCCATCTCGTCATTAGTCTTTGTTTTGCTTCACCTCACTTCTTCTTCGAGTTCCCCTGCCATAATATCTCAAGAGTGATCAAATGCTGGTTCTTCAACCTGCAGTGCAGCTGATTTATTTTACATACACATGTATGTGACTGTTTTTCCTACTTCATAAGGCTCCTTGCCCTTAGGCAGCCACATTCTGACTTTGATCCTTTCTCCTCTCCTACTCGAAATTAAAATAAATTCCATAGTAAAAACCCTCCAAAACAGCATAGACAGCTCGTTATACGTTGACCACCTTTTGATATGCTGCCGTTCGAAAAATCCTCATTTGAGATCTATGGAAAGGCAGCTGCAAACGCAGCTGCACAAACTCGAAACGTGGGCAAACAATAACGGTTTCAAGTTCTCCCCGTCAAAGACGGTTGCAGTACACTTCTGCCGAACAGGCAGACATGTGCTGCAGCCGGATTTGACACTATACAGGGAAAGGATTCCTGTCCAGGACCAAGCTCGTTTCCTCGGCGTCATTTTCGACAAAAAACTCACATTCATACCACACATCAAAGACCTTTGTGTGAGGTGCCAGAAAGTGCTAAACGCTTTGAAAATTCTATCGCATCCCGAGTGGGGCGAGGGCTCAAAACACCTTCTCCACTTGTACATCTCCCTTGTCCAGTCCAGACTTGACTACGGCTGTCAGGTCTACGGATCGGCAAAACCACACATCTTAAAAATGCTAGACCCAATACAAAACCAAGGACTCCGCCTCGCTCTGGGGGCTTTCCGCACTTCTCCGGTGGAGAGCCTCCAGGCAGAGGCCAACATACCACCACTCTCACTAAGACGCACACAACTCTCACTATAATACGTAGTAAAACAGAGCTCAACACCGGAAAATCCAGCGCACAACAGCATTTTTAAAACAAACCCAGAAACCATAAACAAATTCCAAAACAACGAAAAACTCATCAAACCCTTCGGCCTCAGAATCCTTGAGGACCTCAAAAACTTACACTTTTCCAAACAAGACATCCAACAAATTCTTTTCCCCAACCTCCCTCCGTGGCACCTCACCAAGGCAAAAGTAGATTTACAGCTGACCACACACAACAAAGAAAGCACAACCACCAAAACTTTTAAAGCAAAATACAAAAAACTAATAGATAAATACCCCGGTGCAGAGCTCATCTTCACAGAATGCTCCAAAAAAGACAATGAAGTGGGCGCCGCAACCCTATCTTCCAACAGTACACACCAGAGGAGACTCCATCCTGAAGCCTCCATTTTCTCTGCGGAGGCCACTGCCATTGACATGGCACTGGACTCCGTAGAAAACTCTCCTAACAAATCTTTCCTTATCTTCTCTGACTCTCTGTCTTGCATCACCTCACTCACAAACTACACACTCCTACATCCAAAAATAGTTACGCTACAACAGAAAATTCATACACTATCCGAAACAGGAAAAAGCATCATGTTCGCATGGATACCTAGCCATGTGGGCATCCGAAGAAACGAGCAGGTAGACGACCTGGCGAAGAAAGCCTCATCCCTTCTGCTGGGATCAACGACAAACACTCTCCCTCAGACTGACTTTAGAAATAAATTCAAAAAGTACACCTCCAGTCTGTGGGAGAGCCACTGGGAAAAGCAGAAAAACAATAAACTATATGTTATAAAACCCAAACTAGAACAGCGAAATACTTCGGACCTCTCCAGAAGAGACGAAGTCATTTTTACTCGATTGCGCATGGGGCACATGGCCCTGACCCACAAATACCTCCTACAGGGAGATGAGAAACCTTTCTGTGTCGGGTGCGACACAGATTTTACCATTAGACTCATCTTAACCGAATGTCTAGACTTTGGAGAGATCCGAAGGAAATATTATAAATGCAAGAAATTGCAAGACATTTTTTCCGTCGTTGGTCCCAGCAAAATTTCGAATTTTATGAAGGCCATTGGCCTTTATGGCTAATTGTAAAGTGAAATCGTACCATCTAAAATTTTTATTGCTACTTATAAGAGTTGTTTTAAATCGCAAAATATTTACACTGAATTTTAATATTTTAGCATTTTAAAGTCTAATAGTTAACCAATCGTGCAGTGAACTTTTGCGAAAGTAAACAACTTGTGTTTCGTGCGCTCATATGACCTTACGCAGTTGCGAGCGCCGTAAAACCCTATACTACTACTACTACTCTTTATTTATTTTTTTGTTTTCACCCCACTGACCTGAGTATTTTTCTTTTCTCCACGTTGCAGTGTTTTTCTCTTCCTTTCACGGTGAGAACAGGCAGCCCCCAGGTCTGGTCGTACACGGGCTCAGTGGTCTGGTACACATGGGCAAAGGAGGACATGGTAAAAACGCCAATTGTAATGTGCTGGTCTGTGTCAAAATGTATTCTTTTTTTTTTTTTGAAACACTACATCAAAAAGTGTCTGTGGGAGGTTAGGATTTCTGCGCTGGTTACTGCAGCTAGGTAGGCTGAAAAAAGTTCCTTGGGGGCTACTTGTCGGAAGTACTGGAACACCCGCCCTATTCACCCGATTTCGCTCCATGCAACTTCCACCTCTTCCCCATGCAAGCGGGTTTTCGACCACAGCGTACCGGTGGCACAGAGGACCAGATCGCCAGTATAACGCAACACATAGGCGACAACCTTCAGGACAACTCTGGACCAAGACATAAAGCAAAGAGAACCATACTCTGTCTAATAGACTTTTCAAGAGCCTTTGACAAGGTGTGGCTTACTGGACTCCTCTACAAGATAAACGCCTTAGGAATGCCCACCTGTCTACAACAACAGATCAAGGCCTATCTAGATGTCAGAAGGTCCAGAGTTCGTTTTACTGGACAAGAAAGTCGCGACTATCGCTTCCTTGCTGGCGTCCCTCAAGGCGGAATATTATCACCACTTCTGTTCCTCACGTACATCAACGACATCGAAGATGACCTACCCATAGGCACCAAACCAGCTGCTTTGCAGACGACCTGGCAATATGGGCATCCCTTGAAAATCTTGACACTGCCGCCACGATTGTTCAGGGAAGATGGAAATTAACGTGGCGAAATGCGAATACTCTTTTTTCATGATATGGAACAGTGAAATGTCCTGGCGTACCCAGCTTACAATGAGAGACAAGGAGGTGCCCTATAACAAAACACCTACCTTCCTTGGCATGACCTTTGATAGCAAGTTAACATTTAAAGAACATATCAAGAAATTTAAAGAAAAAACTGGCCCCACGAGTCAATCTCATCCGCAGGCTCTCGGGCACAGATTGGGGATGCAGCAAAGAGGATCTATGGATGGTGTACATCGCGTACATCGGATCAGCCATCCAGTATGCCCACGCAGCCTGGTACCCAGCAACGGCCAAAACAAATTGCGAGACCTTAAATGTTATTCAAAACTCGTCAGCCAGAATAATTACCAGGTATATGAGAGACTCAAATGCAATGCTGCTCACAAACGAAGCTGGCTTCATCCCACTTGAGGTTAAGTCTAACATTGCAACTGCTGTGGCATATGAGAGAGCAAGAAGAGTCTCAGAAGACAACCCGATCCGTACCTCAGCTGAAAGAACATCAAAAATACGCTTAAAGTCCATCAACAGTTGGAGGGAAGTGGGCAGACAGCTCTGATAACGCGGGACTAGAACATCTAATCCGAGAACCCCTACGGCCAGTGAGTACAACTCCCCCGTGGAAGACCCCCTGCAACCTCACAATCAATTCCAAACTTGCAGTGTCTACAACAAAAACAGATCCACCTAATATGCGACGTGATGCAGCTTTCGAGACCGTATGCCAATTGCTTACGTCCGACCTCGATATCTTCACTGACGGCCATGCCACTGACGGCTACAGGTTATGTGGAGGAGGATACTGGTGTCTAGATAAATCTTCTGGGGAGGAAACATGCGTAACCGTGCCCGCGGGACTACATGGAAGCAGCTACCGAGCTGAAACTACTGCCCTGCTCCGGGCACTGCAATGGCTCGAATAACAACCGCGTTTTCAAAGAATCCACATCTTCACAGACTCCCAGTCAGTTGTTCAACACTTAATGTCCGGAGTGAGTGCTGTTCGTACTGAGATAGAGGACAAAATGTGGACCACTATTTGCCACTGCTGTGAAATCCACGGACACTTTCAGATACAATGGATACCAGGACATTGCGACATCCATGAAAACGACAGAGCTGACACCCTGACCAACAAGGGAGGCCGCCTCGACCAGTCCAACCCTCCTGTCAATATTGTTTCAGCAAGCTCGTGCATCTCGCGTTACATCATTGCCCATGCATGGGAGAAAGCAGGAGTGCACGAAAGGGGGGAAAGGTGAAGCCACCACAGGAGAGAGACAAAGAGAGACCTAACCATCAGACAGAGAACAGTGTTATCGCAGCTAAGATGCAACGCGAAGAGCCCCATCCTCCAGGCATACCTCCATGCAATAGGCTCCGCTCCCAATGATTCCTGTCTGGCGTGTGGACAAGTCCTGACGACCTGCAGCACGCACTGTATGAGTGGAGGGAAGCACTTCAAGGCCCACTTATGGAGAACAATGCATAACCGGGCCCGGATGAACTCTGGACGAGGCCACATGAGGTTGCCTCTTACCTGTCTGCCTACGGCAGACTGCCGCCCTCCTAACGGAGGCCAGCCAGAGGAAGGAAGTAAGGAAGGAAGGACTTCTTGTAATTGTGTTATAAGAATAATGTCTAGCTTTTCAGTGACACTGAATCAGCACCAGACTTTTCCAGCTTTTATTTTCGTTGCTATGACCATTTGCAATAACTGACAATGTTCCGATTTCTTTACATTCATAAGTGTCAGCGCAGATGTCTGACACAAAAACTGAGAATGAATGTGTTAGCTGTCGTTATTTTTTTTCCATATAAGTAGTGCATCTCTACCCATGTATTAACACAGTTTTGTATTTTTTTTAAATCGCATAATATATCTTTTTTAGTTGTATGCAGGCTGCCACAGACACAGCATGATTCATGAACAAACGCAGAGTAACTTTCTCTTGTTTAATGGTAGAATAAAAGCTGATGCTGAATGTCTTTAGTTAAAAAATGCAGATGTGCATTTTTCTTCTCTTATAACTTGACTATTCCTACTCGCGCAGATTTAAGATTTCTCATGGAAAAAGACATGATATTCGTAGTCTGTTTAACACAGATTTTGGAGAGATCTGTTGTGCCGTTTTAAAATAAGCAATCATTAATTCATAAGTATGTAACTAAAATAGGACAAATTGGGTACTCTACAGACACTTGTCTAGAACGAAAACTAAGGCACTGAAATTATCCATTCAAACGCAGAATAAATCTCAAGACATTGAGCTTTTAGTACATCCGCGTAATGGTTCACTGTGTGAAATGGGGAAGAAGTTATATCGTTTCAAACTTAGACAAAAATGGGAACTTCTTAACTGACACCGGCAAAGTCGCTTCAGGGCTCATTAACCCTGTGACCCCGAGCCAGGGAGCTCTGGCGGGCTGCTGAGTCACGCTAGCTAAAGGTAACAGAATTGGGCGAAAAGTGACGCCGTGGCAAACATCTCAACTTCTATTCTAGAGAGATCGGTATTTTTTTCATCTAAAGCAAGACAAATCAACAAGCTTTCAGATGATACCAATAACTCCACATGACCAAAACTTGACTAGTGGCTGATTCCATCGATTTGTAACGCATATTGTGTATGACTTAAATTGCAGCAGTGTAGAGTTAGAGGACACAGCTGCACCGAAAGCAAACTGTTTATACTCTGTTGAACTTAACATCTCAGTCCTGATGATTAAGTTATTCTTTCATGTCTTCAGTCTTTTTTAAAACGTATAAGATTTTGACATTTTTTTTAAGACCACTTATTTGACATCAATAAGAAGCTTATCTGTGAAGCCATTTTGGGAGCACTTTTCTGCCTATTCTTTTGAAATGATTGTGAATGAGGGCACACCGCAAACATGTCTTAAATTTTCTAGAGGCATATGTCAATACCCAGTGCTTATTTTTTGCTTTTTATATATATATATACTGTCGGAAGTGTCATGGCCCCCCATTGTTTAGGAATAAAATGGCCATCTGAGACAGACTACCGTCTTACACAATGTCGTTACAATGTAAAAAATACGTAAGGGAGAAAATCAGGCAGTTTGTACAGGTGATTATCTTATCCAGGTGGCTGTTAGAGCAGGTTCGACCGTATTTCCAAATTCAGTTGATCCTGCCTTAACAGCCACTTGTCCAAGACAATTGCCTATACTAATGACTATTCCCCCCGGCCGTGTGAAAAAAATATCTTAAGTCACCTTTAGCTCATGCATGGTTTTTTTTTTCATTTTTACATTGCTCCTGTATGTTCATGCTTAGATTATGAAATCCATTTTCTTCAGTACAGCTGATGGTTTGAGTTCACCCTTAAAATAGTGTGACCTGCTTTATTCCTTTCTATTTATGTGTTTTCAGTCTGTCAGTTTGGTTTTTCTAAGATAAAAATATTAAGTAAGTAAAAGCAATCAAATTAGAGATTATGTTCATTACCTTCTCTGATTGAAGTTTCCTTTTCGACTGATGTAAAAAGTTTTGTTTTTCCTGCAGCACCAGATACCATTTTCCTGCCCAAAAACACTGGATCACTTTATGGTGCTAGCTCTGTTGGAGGCCAAGTGCAAAGCAAAGTTTCCTGCTTGGGAACTTCAAGCAAGTGAAGCCTATTCTCTGGGGAAAATGATTCAACGTAAGGCAGAACTAACTGAATGTGTTATTTAGATGACTGCAGTGGTTTAATACAGCTGTCACTGTGCTGATACGATTAAACATTGGGAGAGACAAAGTTAGCACAGTGGTGGATAGCGACTGTGAAAGGACCTTGGTTGTCAGAAGGTTAGGTGGCTTCAGCAGCTTTGTATTCTTACAGAATAAATGAAGAACAAAATGGTACTTCGTGAAAAAGTCGGGTTTCAATATTTGCTCAGTCACTGCGTTGTTTTACTGACTGAAAGCAAAGCAAAGTTTATTGAAAAGTCTGGACTTGAGGCTAACTCAGTTTTATATCAACAGAACTCTGTTAGTTCCATTATGTCTAGAAGTTGTGTTGGGAGTGCAATAGAAAAGGCTACTGACTTTTGTCTGGAGACACTAGGGGAGACCCAGATTCACCCCCAGTGGGTCGGGGGGATATAAATAGACCCACTGCTTCGTCTGCAGAAGGTGCAACCCCTTCAAAGGCGGAGTGTCGCACAAGGACCCCAACCCTCTGGGATCCGTGTGCGACACTCACTTTGGTGTATCTTCCTCTTCTCCTTCCTTCTTTCTTTCTTCTTCTATCTTTTCTCCCACCGCTGACCTCAAGTGCAGAAAAAAGAGAGGTCACCCATCCCACAGAGTGGGCGCCTCGTTGACCGTGAGGTGCGACCCGTGCGGAGGGAAACCGGGTACCTGGCGGTTGAGGTGAGATCAGTCCACGGACTGTCCCTCGCCAACACACCTCTTTGGCCCAGGTTTTCCTCTTAGATGGGAGGGTGGCACGGCCCATGCCACTCAATCGGTTGAGAGCTGAAACCCCATCAATCCCTGGGTCAATCTTGACGGGAGGGTCTCGTACTTTCTCGTTGAGAGTATAGCTCCGGGGTAGCCCTGGCACAGCTCTGGTTATCCGAGCTATGTGTCCCCTTGTTGGGCTCCGTGGCAGGCGGGGAGCCCCGGAGTCGAATCAAATAGAAAACTCTTATGGATTCAAAAAACCAAAAAGACCCTTCCCCAGCTCCCTACGTAAAAAAGTCTCGGCTCACGGAAGCGGGTGCGGCCGCCGAGCCGAGCAAAAACTCAAAAAATGGTAAAAGGACCTTTACCGATGCCTCTTTCCTCCCTCCTCCCAAGGAGTTTCTGAGGCAACCGTACGTGGCCATCTCCAGTACCAAAGACGCACAGAGAAGAATTACCGATCTCAACCTCTTTAAGACAGGAGATGCACTACGGAAAGTTCTGGGATACATTCCCACATGTGTACAGAAACTTTCCTGTGGTGCACTCCTTGTCAAGTGCGCAACCGAGATCGAAGTGACCAAACTCCTGGATACCACGACCTTCGGCAGTATTCAATGTAAGTCAGAGCACTACCAAAAATTTAACCGCTCGAAGGGCGTGGTCCGCAGCCATGAGCTGAAAGGCTGCTCCATGGAAGAGATTGTGGAGCACTGTGAGGGAGTGGTCGAAGCCCGCCAGATTACTCTTCGGCGGGGGGAGACTACTATCGAGACGAACACGATTGTCCTAACATTCGAATCGTGTCGCCCTCCAGCCACCGTTCGGGCATCTTACTTGGTACTCGACGTACGACCCTATGTGCCGAACCCTCTGCGCTGTTTCAAGTGTCAGAAGTTCGGCCATAGCCAGTCACGGTGCCGTCACGCAGCTGTGTGTCCTCGCTGTGGCAAGACCGGGCATCCTGAGAAGGAATGCAAGGCTAGTCCTTGTTGCCCCAATTGCCATGGCCAGCACACAGCTTTCAGCAAGGAGTGCCCGACTTGGCTCCAAGAACGCGCCATCCAGGAATACAAGGCGCGAAATGGCTGCTCCTTCCAGGAGGCCCGTAAGGTTGTCTGCCCGCCAATCACAACCCCAGTCATTGGCCGGTCATATTCAAAGGCAACCCAGATGGTCACGAGGTCGGTAAGTAATTCTACTGCCGACCTCTCAAAGCCCGCGGTCAACAGGCAAGTCTCTGTGCCAAAGATCACCAAAAATAAAAAGCCTGCTACTATCCCTGTGGCACCCCTCTTTGAGGTGCCACTCTCTAACAGCTATGAGGTTCTAGGGGAGGACGGGGAGGACTCTTCCTCCGCCCCCTCTTCTCCCCCTCACCCCTCTTCTATCATTTCTTCTTCTTCCACCTCACAGCCCATCCCTCTGATGGAGTGTGAGATGGGCCTTCTATCCTCCCCCCAGCCCCCTCCCCCCCTTTCCCAGCCCCCTCGGTCTGCTCCACCTCCCCCTACCCCTCCAGCAGACAAACCCCTGCCTATGGAGGAAGACAGCTCCGACCCCCCTCCCCGGCCTGACCCGGGGAGGGGCGGAGTCTTTCACTCCTCCAAATCCCCCACTAGACCGCCGTCCAATCCAGGACGGCAACCTAGAAAATACTCTGCCTCCCCCGTAAGGAGGAGTCAGAGTGTTTCTTCGAAGCCGGGGCCTAAGTGCTCCAAATCAAAAAGTAAAAATTCATAATGGCGGTCCTGCAATGGAATGCCGGCGGAATCCGACCTTCCATTGCAGAATTGCAACATTTACAGGCCACACTGTGCCCATGGGTGGCCTGTATTCAAGAAACAAAATTCGCTCCCGGCTTCAACCATAGACTTAAGAGGATTTACTGCGTACCATCACATTCACACGGAGAACCAGATTGCTTCCGGTGGTACCACCATCTACACCGACAACCACACACTCCACAGACAAATACATCTTAAGACGACCCTCCAGGCTATTGCCGTACGGGTCACCCTGCACAGACCAATCACGATCTGCTCAGTTTACATCCCACCAACTTACCCCCTCAAAATAACCCAACTAAATGACTTAAAATCTCAGCTCCCAAAACCTTTTATTTTGCTAGGTGATTTCAATGCCCACAGCCCCTTTGGGGAGACAAACCTATATACCAGAAAGGAAAAATAATAGAAAACTTTTTATTTCAAAAATAACATCTGTCTCTTAAATGATAAATCCCCAACTTACAGAAACAGAGCCACTCAACCAAGTTTTCCAAATTGCTAAAAAATTCTTAGGTAGACGCACAGACACCATTCGGCACGTCCAGAGGCCGGATGGAACAACACCTGAAACACAAGTAGACATTGCAAACACAATAGCTACATCTCTAGCCAAAAACTCATCCCAAGCAAACTACAACACCACTTTTCAAAACATCAAAACTAACAGAGAAAAACAACACCTAAACTTCCACTCAAACAACAATGAAACCTACAACGCAGACTTCACAATAGACGAACTAACATCGTGCATCTCGGACCTGGGCGATACAGCCCTGGGACCGGATGACATCCACAACCAAATCATTAGACACTTACCCTCAGAAACACTCACACTGCTATTATACATATACAACGACATGTGGCGGTCGCACTCCTTTCCGGAGTCTTGGCGTCTCGCCACTGTCATTCCAATACCCAAACCAAACAAGGACCACACACACGCATCCAATTACAGACCAATAGCACTAACGAGCTGTCTCTGCAAACTAATTGAAAAAATGATTCAGAGCATTTTAAAGTAAATTAGTTAGCCAGTCGTGAAGTGAACTTTCACAGAGGTGAACAACTTGTGTTTCGCGCGCTCATATGACCTTAGCAGTTGCGAGCGCCGTAAAACCTTATACTATACATTACATACAGACCCAGATTTTTGCATCTAGATGCCGGTCTAGCTCAAAATAAATTATTTACTTTTGATCTTTTATTATTCGAAGTTAATGAGAAGACAATATAAACTAGATTTAATTTTTACTTTTGTGTGCGTACATCTGTTGATTCTTAGATGACTCATGTGTGTTCAGTGCTAGAATTCTGGATTTCTGTAGGGGAGGAAAATAGTAAGTCCCCCTAAAAAACAGTACCTGTTGATTTGAGACAACTAGTTTGGCTTCGTTTTGGGAGCGCTGTATTGAGCATTACACCTCTGTCTTTCCTTGCAATTTGTTGCATTTCCACTGCTGATTTCTACTTTGCTAGGAATATCTTCTTTTTCTTCCTCTCCCATTTATGTAGATACCAGGGGATGGTTTGTGGTCAGTGTTTTTTACTTCTCTTATTGTTGTCTATTGTGCTCATCTATTCTTGGCAAAGAAGAACTGACCATAGTTTGATAATGAAAAAGTGCAGTGAGGTCCGTTTAAACTAAACACTGTAAATCGGAAAACAGCTGTAAAGTGAAAGAAAATCAAATCCCCGATTTTTTTCTTCCTCTTTGTCTTTGTACGAAAACTACTGATCAGCAAATGCTCACATTTCCCAACTGAAAAGAATCACTAGCAAACCGTATATAATGCAAATCTTCAAATCTTACATGCTTTAAGATAGCAAAACAGGAGAAAGAAACACAAGCATGCAAGTATGTTGATTGCAGGCCAGAGAGAGGCATCACGGGTGTCCTGTGTTCCTGCCTTTATCACACACATCAATGGTCCTACACACTGTTTTTAGGCCTAGTGACACAAGGCTAATGAGTGTATGTCTGTTGTGTGACCTTCAGTTGGCCATTTCCTATTCTTTTTATGAAGTTAGCTTAACTTAGGCCCTACATATGAGCACGTAACAGCACATAGTATGTTTCATGATGTCATTGGCATTGGGATTTCTCACTTCTATAGACTAACACAGAGCACTGTATAGTATACTGATCTATTCTTTCATCTATTCTGTGCAGCTGTTCGGTATATTAATCAAGCTGACAATGTCAAAAAGAAAGCACAATGCTTACAAGATACAGCTCAAATTGCAGTTACCAAACGAGGTAGATGAGAAAAAAACTTTCAAAAAGTGAAATTTTCCGCAAGCATGGCATTCCCAATTCAACTCTGTTGACAATCATCACTATTTGAACAATCCTCTTTAAATTGAAAACACTGCTAAATCAAAGAAAATCCTGCAGTCCCGCAGACTTTTGTTTAAGTGGAGTCCACTATATATTAGTTTGATTTTTAAATGCTTAACTGTTACTGGTTGTTTCAAGGATTACAGTTTTTCTCCTGAAAAAAATTATTAGCCTCTGCTTTTTTTTGGTGCCATATATAGAACTGCAGTTGAACCTGTGTGAGACGGAATTGCAAGGCAGCCAGAAAAGAATTATGTCTTAGACAGGGGAATTTAGGAGGAGATGGAGCAGTTGGGAGAGGTTCAGAGGCCCAGCTGATGGGATAAAAGGTAGCTTGTCGGTCAGCAAGCAGTGTCCAAACTTCACACCTCTCAAGGTGTATCCACTCTGATTATGGTATGCATCAGTACTACTTATCCACTTCGACCACTGCTTGCATTTCATAGGATTATTGTTTGACCTTTAAAACAGAAATGTTTGAACATCTTCTTTGCTTCCACCCTTAGCCCCACCCATTGGTGTAATAAGCACAGTCGACCAATGCCACCCATCCCATGCGTGTAACAACAATTCAAGGAACTTTTTTCTTGACTGACCCTGGGATCAGGGAGGCAGAGCAGGCACTGGTCAAACTAATTGCACACCTCTGGCCTCTGGCTACCCAGGAAAGTGTTTTTGCTGGAGCGCCACTCAAGCACTTTCACAGACACTGATGAGATTTCTCGCCCATACCTCCCTGACCATCTGCACCGCTAAGAGCTTACATGGATGGGGTAACATCCACCCCCAAATTGCACCCCTACTCCCCTTCCTCGCCTGGTGGCATAGCGTAAAGTTAAGAGAGCTGATGAAACCAACTTTGATAAGATTGAGTGGGCAAAGCATTTTCCGTCTTAGACAGGTAAAAACCCTCAGCATGGAGCGGGTTTTTTTTGTTCCTTTTCTGCATTTTACAAGTTTCCGTTTTAAACTGGTAATTAAAGAGGAATTTATCATTCGGGGAGTGGGGAGATTCCGTTAAGACAGGTTTCTGTCTTTTTTAGGTTTCCATTAAGGTAGGTTCGACTGTATTGTCATCCCATGTCAATTGGTATTGACAATAGTACCATGACAAATATCCTTATCACAAAGCCATAAAATCTTTGTACACAAGCCCTAGCTCAAAGTATAACTAATATTATGTTTAACTCTTGCAGTTGTGTCGACTCCTGAGAACCAAGTTTCTTTGCACAAGTTTACTGTGGTAAGCAAACTTTGCAAGTTTGTATGTCTGTCTGCATATGGGCAAAGTAAACTAAAAGTAACTTCTTTATGGCTTGAAGATAATCTTGCAAATCAAATATTTCAAATTGAATTTTTAAAATTCATTTCACCCTTGGACCTCACAAACAGAATGAATAATCTTATGTTGACAGCCAACCTCATGGATGAAGATATGTCGATAGTGTCATCCAGCATCAGTTGGGACAAAATTCTACTACTCTATTGTATGCTGTGAACTCTAGCGTTTCCATGCACAAGGTCTCTGGGTGGAGATCAGAACGAAAGACATTGTTTTGATTGCTTTCCTGTCATTACTCTTCCTCTCCATTCTATGTAAGTCAAATTTCCACATGGATAAATGAAGTTATCCTTTTTAACTTTCAAAGAAAAATGTTGCTATAAGTTGGAAATTATGGTGTTCCGTAAAATATATTTTTATTTAATAATAATGAATGCCCCCATCAGCACAGTTTAGATTCTGTTAGGGTTGGGATGCTTCGACTCTGCCTGTCATGGCCCATCTGGGATGGGAGGGAATCGAGAAAGATGAAAATACTCAGTAAAATAACTTCCCCGCCTGAGAATCAAACCCCATGTCTTCCTTACATGCATTGGCAAATAAGGTAACCATTACCCCAGTCAGAAAGTTATAAATAAATAGTTAAAGCATTAAGACTCCTTGCATGCAAGGTCTCAAATAAAAATGAAAGATCTTTATATTTAAGAATGGAGGAAAATGACTTTTGTTGGAGCATTTTCACTAAAGAGATGAAAGCTGTTGCTAAAAACTTGGAATTTGATCTGTTTCACAGGATGATATGCCACATTCTAGAGAACACAATAAAAGCCACAAGTGGCCTTTTTATGCTTGGTTTTCTGCTGCACTCAACACTGCCAAAGCTTTTGAGAAATTCGTCTTTGGAGACAAGGCTTTGGAATCTCAGAAAGTAAAGTAAGTGGAGTCCTTTGAGGCATTTTGTTTGTTAAAAAAAAATTGGTTCTTTTCTACATTCCTAGTGTTTGAATATAATATGTAGTTTTTAGATTTTGAGTTGCTTGCATTAGATTTATGTAAAGATGCTCTTACAAAAAGGAATATTTTGAAAGAAGTGATCTCCATAGAAAAATGAGGTTTCTTCAATTTCTGTGAATTCCACTTTATTCTCGACTCCACCTGGTGACCTGTCAAGGGACCAAATGTTTGGCCTGCAGAATGTCCAGTGTTACGCAAAGTGTTACACTTTAATTGTCATGAAAATGCTAGTCATTGATCCTTTTATTAATTTTCAGAAAAAGTGGGTCTCAACTGTATATCATAGTGGTACCAATTATCGATTATTGTTATCTTCAGAACTTGTTTTGATTCTCTAAAATGAACAATATTTATGGCTTTTTCAAATTGTGCAAGTGTTATCTAGAGAAATCATATTTTTGCAGTGAGTATGTAGGCAATTTTCCGTCACAAGTCAAGGACATGGTGTCTAAAAAAGGAGGACTCACTCGGTCATCAGTGCACAAATTTCAACAAAACTTTGAACAAATGAGACATCACGCTTGTAAATATGCATTTGAAAAATATCAAATTTTCAAAATTTCAACCAAAAATAGGTAAAATGTCACTACTTAAAGTGTTCTGCTACTGGGATGTGGTCGACCCGCTCTGGTTTCAGGAAAAAGACTGTAAAACCATGACAGTCACATCAAATGGAAATCTCACCATGCTGAGAAAGTTGTGGAGAAGTTTGGGGAGGAGAAGGTGTAATGTTGTAGAGGCATGGCTCCAGTGGGATGGGGTTACAAGAAAAGTTTGGAAAATGCCTAATAAGCCGAACATTTACAGATGAAGGGTCACCACACTTTTCCAAACTTGAGCCTTTTCAATTATTACCTTTGGGGTTTTCTGGTGACCAGAGTCTATGGAAACAAGCCACAAGTGATCAATTCAACCTGTTGGAATTCAATGTTGAACAGGTCATCCAAAGAATCGACCCAGAGACATGCCACAGGGTTATTCAAAATTACCAGTGATGTATAGAAGCTTGTATAGAGAGAAATGATCAATACCTGGAGATTTAAATAACCATTACCCTCCTGAGTATATCTGGTAATATGATTTTTGTATAAATTTGTTCTTCAGTGCACAAAGTTTTCATTTAAAATAGAACAGTATGGCTGATTTTTAAAGAGTTGCAAAGTTTTACGTTTCACTCACTTTAGGTTGAAATTTTAAAAACTTGATATTTTTCAAACATGATGGTTGATTTTTGTTTTCTTATTGAGAGATGTAATGTCTCCTTGATGAATTTTAGGTCTTCAAAGTTTTATTGAAATTAGTCTTAAGATGACAGAGTTATTGCCCTTTTAATGGGTCTTTTTCTGGAGCTGTACCCCAATAGCAAACCCGCTCGTGCTCGCAAGCCCCTAGTTCAAGTCACAAGCCTCGAATTACTAGGTCAAATCATCAAATCAAATCACCAGCATGATAAGTTGAGTCTAGCCGAAGCTTCAAGCCCACACCAACTAGCAATCCACGAAGCCACTTGTGTCAGACCCCCTCATCCTCTCCACCCTGTTTGCTATCCGGGAAGCCGCCTACGCCAGAAAAAGAGAGAGAGGGGGGAAGAGAGAGACCCCGCTCACAGTGTCAATGCGCGGCGTAGAGCTGGAGTCTGCTTGACTATTCAAAGGCTTGCGAGCAGCAGACGGCGTCAAGTCTCAAATCTCGCTAGCAGCACAGCAAGTCCCATGAGTCACATTGTCTTGCTTTGTGCCAGTGACTTACTCGCAGCCTGGCAAGTCTCTCAGCTCACATTATTTGCTTTGGCTCCCAGGACCAGCTCGCAACCTGGCAAGCCACTCGGCTGATTTGCTGCAGCAGCGAGCATGAACTCTGAACCGTGGAGGAACGGAGAGGCTGTGCTTGTTTTGGTAAAAATTTCTCCCCATACGGGTGTCGAACTGAGGCCTTTTGCATGCAACAACGAAGCACTTGGCCGGTGCACATTAAAAAGTCACAACACACCGGAAGTTGCCCCCAGTAGCGAGCGGGAGGCAAAGCAAAGCACAAGCCTGCTTACAAGCCTCTAGCGCAACACATACGCTGCTCGCAAACCTTTGATTTATTGAGCAGACTCCAGCTCTATCTTTTTCTTTTAAGACACCGCATATCACACCACAATAATTTTTCCTTGTGCGGCTGCTGCCATGAAATATTTTTTCCCTTGTATTTTCTTTGGTTAATATACCATCGAGGTATGCACAACACAAGATGACTTGTTTTTTTAATGCTATTTGTCATTTTGAAAAAAAATCTCCTGCAACCATCTGGTTACGAAGCTGAGAACGACTTTGTGAGATCGCCATATCCTAGTAATCTACCTTGATACAGTCAAACTGCGAATAAAATATTGTGAAAGTATGCTAGCCCAAGAGGAAGTCCCTGTGCGAAGAAAGGACGCATTAGATTTTTTAAAAAAGGAAATTTTAATAATCATCTGCATTTAGGTCATTCCACTCTATGAATACAATATTACTGTGGATAGGTGGCGTTCTGTTCCTTGAAAATTTCAAGTGGTGACATTTCATTTTAAATTGTAGCTGATGATTGCCAGACTAAAAATCATTGCTTCATTCAGAAGACTGTAAAGTCTTTTAATTTTAAAAAGAATAATTTGTCATATTAATTTTTTTGTTTTGTTCAGGAAACTATATTACTTTCTGGACAAAGAAGGGTTGGTCCACCTGGCCAGGAGACACCAGCTCCCCAAAGCAACGGCCATATTGAAAATAAGCCAGAATAGAGTTGACTCTCCTACTGGGGAAACTCCGATGGCTGGTGTGAACGTGCATATTTGGACTGGAAAAGGTAAGAATAAACTGCATATGTTGGAGTGGTACCCTTCATTGCAATTCGAGGAGTGGAATGTTATGGGGGTTTTTTTTTCTGTTTCTTGGTTTTTAATTACAAAAGTGGTTACGCTGAGTTGACCAGTTGAATGAAACTGAGCCATGGTTTCAATGGCAAAGAGCATTACTCCCGTGCTGGTGAGGTGCCACTCATTTTCCACAGCCTATCCAGCATATGGTTGGCATCTTTTCTTAACCCTTTCCTGCGTTAAGGGCATACCTGGTACCCACCATGGTAGGTTTATTATACAGAGCTAAGAGTTAATATTATTTTGTTTAAGAAAGTGTGGTTTTCAAAGGGGAAGGCAAAAATTGGGGAGAACAGTCAAAATGAGTTTTCAGTCACTCAGAGTGAAGCTGTACCATAATTAATGCCATTTTAAAAATCTGGAATGGATGTGGAATTCTTGCTTTAAAATTTTTATTTCCATTCCTTACTTACAAATCCTTTTTTGTTCTGTTTGATGTGCTGTTATGCACAATTTTAACTCAAATAATTATTTTAGAACATATTCTGACATTCAAATTCAGAACTTAATATAATTTTGAGTGATTGTACAGCATGTCAGTACACCACTTGCAATATCTTTCTTTAATTATGGCATTGGGCTCTGGAAAATTCCCCCAAATCATCTTTTCTCATTCTGACTGATTCTTTGTCTTGCCTCACTTCACTCACCAATTTCACCCTTTTTCAACCCTAAATTTAGTGATATTACAGTTGGAGATTTATTTCTTGGCTGAACAGGAAAAGTGTATTGTGTTTGTGTGGCTACATTGCTATGTGGGCATCTGAGTAAGTGAGCAGGTTGATCTTCAGGCAAATTAATCCTTGCCCCCCTCCTGTTGGAATCAGCAGAAAATACCCTCCCACAAACTGATTTTAAAAATAAGGTCAAAAGCTATACTTCCAGTCTATGGGAGGAAAAATGGAGGGACCAAGTAAATAACAAACTACACAATAGAAGTTGGGTCCAGGAAAACCTTTAGGTATGTCCAAAAGAGGCAAAGGTATTTGAACAAAATTATGCATTGGACATACCTCCCTGACACATATATACCTTCTGCAGGGAGGGGAAAAACCATTTTGTGTCAGATGCGATACAGGCTTTTTGATCAGGCACATCCTAATAGAATGTCTGGACTTTGGAGAGACCCAAAGAAAATATTTTAAATGCGCTAATGTAAAGACTTTGTTCCTCATCATTGATCCCCCCAAAATTCTTGAATTTACAAAGACCGTTGGTTAATGTAGATAGTAGACTTTTTAAAATGTAAATGATTGTTTTTACTTTTGAAATTTTTGCTGTGTATTCAGGTACTTAAACTGTTATGACTAGCAAAGTAAAACGTAGCAATGGAATAACTATTGTGGAAACAACCAACTTGTTCCCCCCTCACTCATATGACCTTGTGCAGTTGTGAGCCCCTTAAAACTTTTACAAACAGAAATCAAATTTATAGACCTTTGTAGATTATTATATTTCTCTGCCTCATGGAGTTTTGCTGTTGATTATGAAGAGAACGTTACCAACTCCACTCTATCAAGAAATCCTGGTAGATGAGATGTAGATGTATTACCTGTCCTGGGCAACAACGTCATTGCACACCGGACAGGTCCATAAGTGCTCAGTTCATCCCAGCACTAAAGCCTGCAAGGTTTCCATACTGATTGTTTCAGTGGCTGTCTGATTATGACGACGTCTTTCCTTTCCAGATAATCGTTCCTTTCTTCCCTGTCCCCTCTCTATCCCCATTTCCCGAATCCTGATGATTGCGTGGTGATCTGCTGTCTCCCTGTCTTCCTCATCCCGCAACTTTTCCTCCAGGGTCTTCAACACTTCTCATTTGTCAAATTTCACCTCACCATCAACCACGGCACTGCCTGCCTGCCTATCAGCCTCCTCATTGCCCTTCACTCCAGAGTGCCCAGGACAGATTATCCATGTGATGGCTCTAAGTGATGAGTGTTGTATTGGGTTCATCCATTCACTCCGAAGCAGCCTTTTCTCAACCCTTCGCTGGATGCTCTGGGAGTCTGTGACAATAATGAGATGGGTAGTTCTTGGTCTTGTAATTTGAAGCTGGCCAATCGCTCTTGTTACGGCCTCAATCTCTATTTTCATGCTTGAAGTTGTTCTTTCTATGGCCCCTGACATCCTTTGAACCTGTTTGTTCCCACTGTACACCACAAAGTCCCACCTACTTATCTCGCTCCTCCTGACCGATCCATCTGTGTCGATCACTGGGTCCTCTGGCTTGGAGTGCTCCTCAATTAACTGTTGTATGTCTTTGTTGTTAATGACAGCAGCACATTCCTGTCTTTCACGACCCATAGTGATGTGAACGCTGGCCGGGCTTCTGCAATCGCGGCTCAATTGAAACTATTCCTTTCCACTCCATATTTCATCGATACCACAAACTTTCCTTAAGGAGTCTTCAGCTTCTGCCATCCATGAGCTGCCCTGTTTGATCCTGTTTCCTTTGATGCTGCCCAGGTTGTCATGCAAAGGGTGCCTCGGGTCTCCCAAAACATTCAAGTACAGCTTTGCCTGTGCCACTTTATGCCTCACTCTGATGCTGGCCAGGTCAAGAATGTATCTCGTACAGACAGCATGGGTGTCCTATGTGCAACCCAAGACGGCCCTCATAGCGGCATTCTGTATTCTCTCCAACCTGTCGATCTGAGTCTTGGACAGGGAGAGGATACCCAGACCATAGTCTATGACTGACAGAACAACCAGCTGCATTAGGAGAAAAAGAACTCTTGACAATGTTGCTGTCAGGGCTCAGAAGGGCTCAGATGAGACTAAACTTCACAATAATGTAACAATGAACAGGTCATCATCATCCGGTGCCTTGCTGACTGGCATGGGCGATCATGGACCTCCACTTCCCTCTGTCTTGTGTTGCAGCGATAGTGTCGGTAGTTCTTGCTGTTCTGAGCCATATTGTCAACTCGTCCAGTGTCTTTTCCCTCTGTCTGCCTCTACCTCTCTTTCCATCAAACTTGCCTGTTGTTACAATGTTCTCCAATGCTTCTTTCCACATTGTGTGTCCAGTGAACTTTGCCTGTCGCTTTCGTATATTCGTCATAAGCTGTCGTCTGCTATTTGCTTCAACCAAGACTTTTTCATTTGTTTTTGTAGCCGTCCATGGAATACGCAGTATGCGTCTTATGAACCACAACTCTGTCACCTCAATTGTTCTTTCCAGCTGTTTATTGATTGTCCATGCTTCACACCCGTATGATAGGATTGGCTCGATGTAACTTTTCAGTACTCCTTTTCTTGTTTCCAGTGACAGATTGATGTTTGTAAGTATCTGTTTAATTTTGTGGAAGGTTGCTTTAGCTTGGCAAATGCGGCTTTTAATTTCGGTGCAATATTTCCCATCTGATGATATAATGATCCCCAAATACTTAAAATGTTCTGCTAACTTGAGGGTGGTTCCACTGATTTTGGTATTGCACGTTGGGGTTGGAGTTTTTCTGCTAATCACCATTAATGAGCGGATGTTTTTTTAACTAGGCACACAAGGGTAATGTCACAGTTCATTATAAAATCATCCCCTTTCTCTCAACATTAGGGTCTCCTAGAGCAGTCTTGGAAATGCAATAACTATCCCTTTATTCTAAAATTCTGGTCAGTGGGCTGGTTTTTCTTTGCAAATGTGTACATGTATTTGGCACAACTAAAATGAACATTGTAAATGTCTCTAAGGTGTGAACAATTGTGTGGGCTGGCAGGTATGGCCATGTGTTGGTCATAAAGTAAACTCCACGAGACTTGTTGCCCATCTGATCATGGCTAAGGATATTTCAGCAACATGGATACAAGGGGCTGTGGGTTTAAAACAATATATTTTTTGTGCTGGTTTTACCGTTTAGAATTTCATTTATGATGAAATATTTCTTAAGCTCATGCAACAGATTCCACAGATCTAGGTGACCTCATGATGTCTATGGTGCAGGGAACATATGCCTTCTTGTCTTGTTGTTCTTTACAAACGTTGCTCAAGACTTGGGAATAGGCTGGTATTATGAGAGATTAGATAGATAGTGTTTTCTATTAGCACATGTCACATACACTTCAGTTATGCATGGGAATACTAGATTTCACTAAGTGAAGAAAGAATTCCCTTCTGACAGTTCCTCAAAGTACAAATCATGAATATTTTGTCCTTCCACCAGAAATCTTTACCTGTCGCATAGAGTTGGAAGCGAGCAAGGAGAATAAGTACCAGTTGTGGCGAAAGATTATGCAAATGAAAATAAGAACTGGAAACGGTGACTCACTTCCTGAATATTTATTGTGTACTGACAGCCAGATGTTGAAGCTGGAACAGCCACCCCCAGTGAAGGATGAAAAAAGTTAGTATTTCATATTTGTTTCTTCTTGTGTAATCTGTGTTCTAGTATCAGTTGTAACAAAATGTCTTTTCTTAGTCAAGCCCAACTGCTTGTGTTGAGCAAGTACATCAAAAACTGCTCTTTTTATGTTCATATGTGTACACTATCTTCTTGAGTTTTTTTTCATCTTTTTACTGTTCTTTCTACATATCTGTCTCCAACATAACGTTAAAAATGTTGAATTTTCTGTGTAGGCTCGGTACTTTGATATATATCGTTGCCCTCATGCACAAACCTTGTAAGCGACAAAATTTTCAAAATTTACTTTTTTTTAGCTGATAAGATTCTGTATAACGTACAGTATGTCCCAGTCAAACGATATTTGACACAGGTGAAAAGTAAGGACATTAAAACACAAATGGAAAAACCTCCTATCTCCAACTTCGTGAAAGCCGTCATGCATAAAACTAGTAAATGCCAGCGTTGCACTTTGGAGTTTTGTGCCGGGTGGCCTTTCCTGCTCAGCTGTTGCACCGCGTCGCCTACTTTAGGTAATTGTAATAGCCTAGCGCCTAACAATAGTTGTATTGCCCGACGGTCCATCTTGCGCAACCGTGTTCCGTTGGGTCTTTTTTGTTGTTTTATTTTTTTAGTTATTTTTGTTTGTTTGCATAGTGGATCTGAGTCAAAGGTAATAGTTTCATTGGGAAGCCTACAAAGTTGCCCTTGGCGAAGGGACAGTCTAGGTGTTCACGATTCAAACTGAACTCGGCTTTTTCCCGTTTCATCAAAGTCAAAATAATACTTTGCAAGAAGCAGGAACATTTGAAAGCATCAAAACTAAAATAACATGCCCCTTAAACTTAAGAAGATCTTAATCTGTATATGGTCATGGAAAACAACCTTTCTGTCTGCGTACACCCATCACAGGTTGACATCTAAACATGTTAGATTTCCAAAATTGTTCTTCCTGGCAACCACCAAAACAACACGTTTTGCCGACGCCTAAAGGCTTTTAACTTATGCTGTATAAGATAGGTCTGTATGACCATCAAAAGTGCTGACGACCAAATTAAAATTTGTGTCTTGAAAAATCCGTATACGTGAAAACTCTGGTAGTCACTCATACATTATTGTCGTGCGAAAGGTGCATTTGTTGTATTCTTCGCTAAAAACTGTTCTCGTCAGCTGGAGCCAAAGTTTAGTCCAGTTGTCACTTTCGAAATGTGACATATGTGCTCATCGCCAATGCGGGGAGTCTTCCCCCAAATTATTGCACTTAATGAAATGTCAGGAAGTGCCTTTGAAGGCAAAGTGGACAATGTTTTCTTGCAAGAGACACCAGAATTAGATATTTCTTTGCCATGCTTTAACAAGTTGGGTTTTTCATTTGTTACTTTTCAATGCCCCGAAAAAAATCCCCCGTGACCACATTTGACCCAACTCAACTAACTTCTACCACTACTGGAGAGCTCCTGGCGCTGGCTTGTTGTCCTTCCCTTTCGGTTACAACAAGTTCTCTTGATGCTACGTTGCTGTGTGACATCTCTGTAGTTTCAGTTAATCATGCTGATGTCACAACTGACGTTACTCCGGCTCCAGTTGTTGACACTCTATTCCCTTTGCATTACCTAGTGACGCAGTCGACATCCTCTCAGCATCGTTTAGTGACACTGCCCTTCTTGTGTCAGACGTTGGCACTATGGACTTATCCCAAGAACCATCAGTATCAGTTGTCGGCACCGTCATCTCTGCAGCGGGCATTGGGGTACTGTCAACAGTCTCCTAACTACAGACGCCAACTGCAGAAGTTGTTCCCGCTGATGAAGAATGATCTATCCTGACCCCAAAACCAGGGAAAATAGGTTTTGAAAATTGGAACAAAATATCTCAGGGAGTCGGGACAAAGTTATATCTCTGCCGAGGGCGCCCGACGACCCGCACGCCAACTTTTGGAACCTTGCAACCGCACCTGCAAGGGGATGAGGTGAAATTTTCTTTCAGACGATTCGAATCCACTGGTTCTTTAGGGTCAGATTCAGAGCTGCCAAAAGCAGATTCACCCTCCTGTTTGAAGTGATGAGAAAGTGTTCCTGTAGATGAATTCTTTGGAATATTACCTAAATTCTGTCTTACTATTTGTCGAAAAACCTCAGCAAAGTGTTATCAGGGGCCCCATTTTCGTTCTCTGGTGGAGTACTGGTACCTGAAAAGGTGTGAGAAACTGGGCAGTAAGGGCCTGGGACGAACAGCGTTCAAAAAGTAGTTTCATTACAATTTGGTGTTGCATCATCCCCAAAAGGGCCTGTGTGATGTATGTGAGTCCCACAGAGTTGGTGACATGGATGAAGAGGCAATGAAACACATGAGGCTGAAGGAAAGAGCCTTCTTCTGAGAAAGAGATGCACAACAAACTGTCTCTTGGAGGTTCAGCTGATGGAGTCAGGACTTTGAATCTGTGCTTCTTACTCTTTCGCGTCAGGCATCTGTCATCTACTGCCAGACAGTGGAACATAAGTATCTAGTCAAAGGACACACTCACATGGACGTTGATTCCTAGCATAGCCCGATAGAATGAGCATCAAAAGGTGTTCCTATCTTCCTGACAGCGAATTATATTAGCATTATGGGCAAAGCCAAGTGCAACCCTGGACTCTTTGAGGTCAATACCTTGATCACACGCAGAGGTAGTTAGTGAAAAACCTGGAACTCATAACATGTAGGCCTTGAAGATCACAGGCGTGACATTCAAACACCTCCAGGGACAAAAAGTCAATACTCCCACAGACTATCATCTGTTCTACGATAATCTGTGAATTTTAAAAACCATTTCAAATGCATCTGAGCGAAAAAGAAAGAGGAGGAAGAGAGAGAGAGAGAGAGAGAGAGAGAGAGAGAGAGAGAGAGAGAGAGAGAAAGAGAGAGAGAGAGAGAGAGAGAGAGAGCTAAGTAATTATCTTAACCCCAGCATGGAGGATTGGTTCAGGACAACGGTCGGGGTGAGGCAAGGCTGTTTGCTCTCTCCCACTCTCTTCAATATCTTCCTAGAACGAATCATGACTGACGCTCTGGAAGACCGCAATGGAACAATCGGTATTGGAGGCAGGACAATCACTAACTTGTGTTTTGCCGATGACATCGATGGATTAGCAGGAGAAGAACAGGAGCTCGCCACACTAGTGGAGCGGCTGGACACAACCTCAGCAGCCTACGGCATGATGATCAGTGCCGAGAAAACCAAGCTAATGACCAATAACACCAATGGCATCAACGCAGACATCAAAGTCAGGGGCGAGAAACTTGAGACTGTCAACAGCTTCAAATACCTCGGATCAATTGTCTTAGATGAAGGCTCAAGACCAGAAATTCTCTCCAGAATCGCGCAAACAACAGCTGCGCTATCAAAACTGAAGCTTATTTGGAGGGACAGAAGCATTACGCAAAACTCAAAAATCAGACTAATGCGCTCACTGGTCATCTCAGTATTTTTATACACCTGCGAGTCGTGGACACTAACAACAGAATTAGAACAAAAATTCAGACCACAAAGATGAGATGTTACCGCAGACTCCTTGACATCTCGTACAAAGACCTCGTTTCAAATGCTGAGGTACAAAAGAGAATCACCAACGCAGTGGGACAGTATGAAGATCTACTGACCACAGTGAAGAGACGAAAATTAAAATGGTATGGGCATGTCACAAGATCCAGAGGACTTGCCAAAACAATCCTGCAAGGAACCGTACAAGGAAAGAGAAAGAGAGGAAGGCAGAGAAGGAGATGGGAAGACAACATTACAGAGTGGACCGGAAAGACGATGGATGACACTCTGAGGAAAGCAGAGGACAAAAATAGATGGCGAGAGCTGGTTTTCAGATGCAGTGGTGCCACCACGGTTGCCCCAACCACGGGATAGAAGAAGAAGTAATTATGATTTTGTCAACTATATGGTACACTTCTCTTTTGCTTGATAAACAACAATAGACCAGTATGCCATAAGTAGCATGAGGCAATGTGGGTTTTTTAGGGGAACGTGTTTTACGGTGCTCGCAACTGCATATGGTCATATGAGCGCGCGGGACACATTAAACATTTTCAGTTAATTGGAAAATTTGAATTTTGCCCAGGTGGCGGTCGAAGCCTACTCTAATCGATTTTGGACCCCCAAGGGATCTTTAACGAGACCTTACACACGGGACCTCCAAGATTTTTCACCCTTTTCAGAGAAGGCTAGGTGTAGGTCTTTCCTACCAGAAAATCAGGGGTGTGGCTGAAAGACAGCAGTAAGAAGGAGCCAAGGAGTAGCAGTAGAAAGGCTGCAGAGAGAGTCGAGAGCCCAGAGGAGGGGGCAAAGAAGGTGAGAGGGTTGGGGCAGAAAGTGGAGACGAAAGCAGGTGACAGAACATTGTTGGAGAGCAGTAGGGAAGGATGTGAAAGGAGAAAATTTTAGAGAAGAAAATTTTCTGTCGTTATCTGGATTCAAACCCGGGACTTATTGAAAGAGAGGCAAACACCTTAACCTCTAGGCCACGAGAGCCCCGAGGCAGTCTGTGTTGATGTAAGACGCTAATACTAGCTGGGAGATTTCCTTGTAGATAGAAAACTTTGTTTATGGAAGCCTTTTCAATTTTTGAAAAGTCATTTTATCAATATGTCTTTGAGGATGGCAGTTCTAAAAATGCAAATGAAAATAATTAATGTTCTTCATCAACAAATAAAAGTACAGATTTTGATGTTTAGTCTTCCTCTTCTCTAGATCCGGATGGCTATGGAGGACAACAGAGCCAGCAACCGGGCTACACTGTATTGGAAAGGTAAGTATACAGAAGTCTTTCCTTATCCTTTCTTACTCTCTGTCTTGCATCACCTCACTCACAAACTACACACTCCTACACCCAAAAATAGTTAGGTTACAACAGAAAATTTACACCCTACCTGAAACAGGGAAAAATATCATGTTCGCATGGATACCTAGCCATGTGGGCATCCGAGGAAACGAGCAGGTAGATGACCTGGCGAAGAAATCCTCATCCCTTCTGTTGGGATCAACGACGAACACGCTCCCACAGATTGACTTTAAAAATAAAGTCAAAAAGTACACCTCCGGTCTGTGGGAGAGCCACTGGGAAAAACAGACGAGTAACAAACTCTATAATATTAAACCCAAACTGGGACCGCGAAATCCTTTGGACCTCTTCAGAAGAGACGAAGTCATTTTTATTCGATTGCGCATCAGACACACGGCCCTGACACACAAATACCTCCTTCAGGGCGATGAGAAGCCGTTCTGTGTTGGATGCGACACGGATTTTACCATTAGACACATTTTAACCAAATGTCTAGACTTTGGAGAGATCTGAAGGAAATACTTTAAGTGCAAAAAATTGCAAGACATTTTTCCCATCCTTGGTCCTAACAGAATTTTGGATTTTATGAAGGCCATTGGCATTTATGGAAAATTTTAGTGTAGAACAAAATTGAATCATTTGAAATTTTTATAAAAGTTGTTTTAGACTGAAATTATATATCTACACCAAATTTTAAATATTTTAACGTTTTAAGATCAAATGACCCATACCCAGCTGTGCAGTGAGCTGCGAATAAAAAACTAACTTTTGTGTTTCGCGAGCTCATATGACCTTATGCAGTTGCAAGCACCGTAAAACCCCATACTAAACTAAAAAAAACTCTTTTTCGGGAGTCACTACATGGTTCGCCATTAAGTCGCCTCGTACGACATGCTAGCACTACGTCAGTCCTATTCTTCTCAATGCTGGGACTGCATGGCTTGACTCACAATTTATGGTTGCTGATTTACGAGAATGGAGTAATGATGGTACCTTCAGTCTGTTGTCTGTCACCCATAGCACACTTATGCAGTTGCGAGCGTCGTAAAACTCATAAAAAACAAAACAACTCTTGGTTGTAGAAAGGCTGCTCATAAAAGTTATAAGGAGCGCAGACTGTTTAAGCAGTATAATCTTCCGCAAGACTTTCAATCTGCTTTAGTATACAAATTTATATGATAACTGCATAAAAACACCTGAGTGTAAAGTGTAAAGTTTACTTTTCTTTTATTTAAAAATGTTTTTTTTCTCCTTTTGAGTTCTTTCTTACTGTCCCAACACAAGAATATTGTGCTGTATTCTTTATTTTTTTTACCCTGCCCAATTCTATTGTGCTGTATTCTTTATTATTGTGCTTGTATTCTTTCTTATTCTTGTGCCTTTTGGTGAGGGTGGGGGATATGCTTGTCATATTTTACCTTCTTTGATTTTTGTTTGTTTGTTAAATGTTTAAAAGTATTAACTTTTTTTTCTTCAGCTCCTTTAAAAAACTTAATGTGAAAGAAGAAGATGAAGGTCTAGCCACATCCACATCTGCTATAACTTCTCCTACCCAAACTCCAGATGTTACTGAACCTTCAGCTTCTAAGAGACCAACTGATATGCCTCCAGAGTTACGGGACATAGTACCATTTGATTCTTCGGATGCAGCTGTTGATTCTGCAGAGTACTATGGAGAAATGTTTTCACCACTCGGTATTTCTGAGTATGAGATTGGGGCAGACGGTGAGAGTGAGGGATGGAGGGAGGATGGAAATATATGAGAGAGAGGGGGAAAGGAGGAGAGAAGAGGAAGATGGAGAGAGAGAAAGAGAGATGGAGAGAGAGAGAGAGAGATTGAGATTCTGTATTCTAATTTTTTAGGTTAAATGAGATTTAAGGTTTGTTTTGCAAGGTACAAAGGAAATAAAAACATGCCTGTGTCATTGGTCCCTGGGGTAAGAGCTGGTGCTACCAGAGGTACTGAGATCTGAAGAATCTGAAGAGGATGACTGTCACGGTATGTATCTATGTTCTCAGGTATTAAGTAATATTACCGATCTGAATTCCCAGAAGTTAACTCTTTCTTGATGTATTTGCCGATATATATCGACGCAAGTCCGCACCCTTAGGGAATGAATTGCTGATCTATCGGCAATGATGGGGTGCCTCAGTTTTTTTGCATTTTGACGTGATCGTTATTTATAAGTACTTATTATTGTTAATGAAAACTTTGAAAGGATTTAGGTAACAAAAACATAGTTTCACTTTGTCAAACCGTCATTTTGGCGATAGATGAGTGGATTCATTCTTGCGGTGTTGCATCAACAGAACGATGTAGCCGGACTCGGTAGAAATATCATATTTCAAACAAAAATTGGAATGTTGCTTTCAAATAAAAAGCTGTGCATTCAGAAATTTATGGATTATGCTCTTGGCCTGTATATTCTTGTTGAAAGATTGTTCAACATGTTTGGCCTGTCTGGCAGGGGTTTTGACTGGTTCAGGTCCTACCTGATTAGCCGAATACAATCTGTGGTTGTGCACGACTCTCGGAGTTACTCCAGGTTCAGTATTGGATCCAATCTTGTATACGTTATATACACAGCCGCTTGGAGCTGTGATCAGAAAGCACAATATGAATTATCACATGTACGCAGACGATACACAGTTATATAAATCTGTTCCACCATCAGATGTTAAAACCTTGCTTACCACCATGGGTCTGTGCATCGATGACGTAAAAAAATGGATGATTGATAATATGCTCCACCTTAATGAAAATAAAACTGAATTTCTTTTATGTATATATATAAAAGCCATATCCCCGAAGACATTGATCATATTTGTACTGAAAATGAAAAACTGTATTTTACTTATAAAGCAAAAAATCTGGGAGTGTATTTTGATTCAAAATTGTCAATGGAACATCATATAAATTATTTTTGTACAATTTTATTTTGTGAATTTCGTAGAATTGGTCATATGTCTATGTTTTTGAATGAACACTCGTTGAAAACGCCCATGTCATCGTTCTTGTTTTCACACATCGATTATTGCAATGCTTTACTAGCTAACTTACCAAATACCACTCTTCACAAGTTACGACGTTTTCAAAATCATGCTGCTAGGCTTGTTCTAAAGAAAAAGAAGAGGGACTACATTATTCCCATGTTAAGAACATTGCATTGGCTTCTCGTGTCAGCTTGAATCATATAAAATTGCAATATTATGTCATAAATGTGTCAATAACAAAGCTCCCTCTTATCTTAGTGATCTCATCCAGATTTATGTTCCTTCTAGATCGCTAAGATCAGGCGATCAGTATCTTTTAAGAGTTCCTAGAAAAGATGGTAAAAAATTAGCTGAAAGATCGTTTGCCCACCTTGCTCCATCAGTCTGGAACTCTCTTCCCCAACCCTTGAGACATACAACATCTGAGTCTAAATTTTAAAAATCTTTAAAGACACATTTAATGACGTCATTTTTATGTTAGTAGATTCATGTTCAGTACAATGTTATGTAAATGACTATGTATCCATTTATGTATTTTGTGAATTGCATTGTGTATATTATTTTATTATATATGTGCTCATTTCGTGACGATGTGTAAGCGTGCGCGTGTGATAAGCAAGTAGATGTGTGTGTGTGTGTGTGTGTATATGTGTGTGTGTGTGTGTGTTTAAATGTGTGCATGAGTGTGTGTGTGTGTGTGTGTGTGTGTGTGTGTGTGTGTGTGTGTGTGTGTGTGTGTTTGTGTGTGTGTGTATGAGTGTGTGTGTGTGCGTGTGTGCGTGTGTGTGTTGTCGTGTGCGTGAATATTGTTCGTACATGCATTTATGTAAAGGGCCTAGAGCTGTGTTTACATGGGAATGGGCGCTATAGAAATGATTTTCATTATTATTATATTATTATTATTATTATTATTATTATATGATTAATGATTAGATAGCTTTGATGATTTGCTTTCACATGTTTGGTGAGTGTAATTTTTTTGGCGTAAATATTGTTTTTCTCATCACATCACCCATTCTATTCTAACCCTTGTAATGCATGCTTATGCTCAATGTGAATCCTTGTTTTTGTGCAAATGTATTCAATTTGATATATCTTATGTTACCTTTATGAAGTTATTTTGTACATATATCACCGGTATAGCCAAATCGAGTGACAAGTTAATTACGACTAGATCCCCCCCAAAAACTACATCCAGAAAGAGTTGAAAACCCAGTGTTAACTTTTCTTTTTCAGAGGAAGCTATGACTTGTTTTGTATGTTGTTATGTTTCAAACAACGCCTGTGCTTTCAATCTTAGATACAGTTACACAGTCATGTATGTATTTAAAGAGAAATTTATTCACCCGTTAATATCTTTCAAGATACTTTTTCATGACATATATATATTAAATTTACCATGCTTGTACAAAATAGAAGTCAATTTTGGTATTGATGTGTATGAGCATTGCAACAAAGTAAGGCCTGTTATTGCACAAGTAAAAAAATATTCTAAAGACTGATTGTTTTTTCCATTTATGGAACTATGCAAACTAAAAAAAAAGCAACCAATTTTTAAAATGTATATATATTTCATGTTTTTATATATGGGGCAGCGTGGTGAAATCAGGCGCTCGTCAAAATACAGAAATTGGAGACAGACATTTTTCTTACAAGTTTGGACATTTTTATCGAATTTTTATGTTTTGGCTCAACCTCTTTTGTGTCCATTATAAAAACACTTTTTCGTGTGATTTTTACTGAAAAACGTTGATTAAAGGCTAGAAATATGCCATTTTTCTGTTTTCAAGGACTCTTTAGTTATTGGAGTTACCAAACTTTTTCTCACTTATTTCACCACTGAAACAAGGCAATCCTAATTCCTTCAATCGCAAATATCTTGAGTTCCATTCAAGATAAATCTGTCCTCAGAGAAATTCACGCCCGCAACTCGCAACTTGCGCACGCAACTTTTACCCTCAGCACAACTTTTGCAATTTTTGTGAATTCGCGAATTTTAGCCAATTTTCCGCCAAAGTTAGAAAGATAATAATAAAAATTTCCTTAAAAACTCAGAAATTTTCTTCCATGACTAAAAATAACAATGCCAAGGGGGACAATTCGCTCCTTTGCACTACGGGGTGTCCTCCCCCAGTGCCCATTGCGGATGGGATCGGTTCGGGTCAGGTCGGGTCGGGATGATCGCCCGACTCGTCGCCTGAAAACAGCTTGTTTGTTTTTGAGGCAATGAGTTGGGTGCGATGGACTTGTGCAACGATAGCCGCTTTGTGCCATCAATCTGGCGGGCAAACCGACCCGACCCGACCCCCCCAAAAGTCCTGTTAGGACTGAATCATCTTCTAGCTGGTTCTAGTTCTAGTTCTAGAGTAAATTAATCGTATACACGATCGTCTGATTATTTAGCTTGCCTGGTTCGGTTTCACCAGGTAGATAGATCTAGTATAAAAATTTGTGAAAGATTTTAAATCTTAAGCTAGGAGGGTAGATCTAGACATGAATCGATTTGTCCAGAAAACCCCTAGACCCTATAGGGAGGGGACATTCAAATATAATCTTACGCCTGAAAGGGGTGGGGGATCTTTAACTCCTTTGAAAGAAAAGTGTAGGAAAGGGGAAAGGAGCGTGTGTGTGTGTGGGGGTGGGGGGGGGGGGGGGGGGTGGGGGGGTCTTGAACCAATGTAAGATTAGACTTTTGTAAGGTGAAAAAAATAAGGAAAATAATAAATGACAACATAGTTGTTTGTTTTTTTATGACATAAAAAAGGGTAACTATACTATTCACTGTAGAGTGGTAAGCACGGCATTGTGGCGATACAGTGGTCCTTGAGTGGCAAGCACAATATGCCATATATCGTACTTTATACACTGGTAGATATTGTTGTTACTTGGAACATAAAACAATGTTTAACACTACTAACCTTCTGTCTGCCTGCGCCTACAACAGGAGTTAGCCAAACCTGTGTCTCTCTGTGTTGTGATCCTTTCCTCAGCTTTGGGGCCCCGATGCGTTGGAATCTCACACGTTACACACAAATAAACCGAGGCTAGCCTTTTCTCCACCTATACTCTCAACAGGCCTCCTCTGCCTTGCTACAGCTCTCCCCTCTAAAGTCTCACCTGTAGTAACCCAGACTGCTTTTATAAACTTGCAAACAATACAACTGAACTGAGACTCGCACTTTACTCACTCTCACACTTTCAGCCAAACGATACAATAGGCTAGGCCTTACCCCCTGCCACAACCAAAAACAACCAAATAGAACACAGATATCTAGGCTACAATGTTACATGTAGATCTAGTTTAGTTTTTATTACACTGGTGCAGTTAAAATGGTAAAATGACACCATAAGTTCATCCAGAAAAGTTCCGCTTGTACCGTATTTGATTATTATGTCACATGTGTGTATGCATGTTTTTCATGAATAATATTATGTAAAAGTAAAGCGCATAGAAGAGTGATTGTAACATGGATTTGGGATATATAAATGTCATATTATTTAAAGCGAATAATGTAATATTACAGGATTTTGGAAGGGGGGAGGGGGGGGTGGCGAGAAAAGTGTAAGACAAGTTTTGAACAGCCCCCAAACCACGCTGATCACACCTACCCAACATCAGCCAGAGTTTAAGCACCTCAGTGTCAGGAGACAAACTGTTTTTGTACACCATGCAACTTCCATACAGTTTTTTGTTGGGTTTTTTTTTGGTAGACATTCACATTTAAGTTTTGATTTTAATCTAACAAAAGTTGTGGTTACTTTGATTGCAATGAGCTTTCCAAATGAATTCCAATAGTTCCGTGACATTTTTTTTTCGTTTAGCTATACATGTCTTGCAACTTTTCTTGCAACTTTTGCTAATTTTTCTTGCAACTTTTGCTATTTTCAATTGCAACTTTCTCTGAGGACCGATAGATGGATGTCTATTTCATTTAAGGGTGACCTTATTTAGGCCACATATGGCCTAAATAAGCTAAACCCCCTCCCTTACCTTATTTGGGCCACAGGTGGCCTAAATAAGCTAAACCCCCCTCCTTTACCTTATTTAGGCCACACCTGTGGCCTGAATAAGCTAAACCCCCCTCCCTTACCTTATTTCGGCCACACCTGTGGCCTAAATAAGCTAAACCCCCCTCCCTTACCTTATTTAGGCCACATATGTAGTCAAAATAACCAAACCAATGTAAAGCATTGTTTTCTTTACAAGTTACGTTATTATCTCTTTAAAACTCTTCACATCCATTTTCCTTCACAGCCGTATCGTACATGACATGTGATGTAGAATCAATTTAGGGTCCCTGGAAAGGTGACCAGAAAATAACAAAATTATTTTATGATCTTCACTTGCACTTGCAATTTTTTAGACAAATTAAAGTCTACCTAATTATATTTTTTCCCCTCATTTTTCTTCACTATAAATGACAACTGGCATGTATTGTTTTCAGTTATTATCAAGAAAGTGGATAGGCGGACTACGGGGTCTATCTAGCCAAAAGGACAGGTGGACCCCGGGGTCTACCTAACAAAATGTTAGGTTTTAGGATGTGAACCCCGGAGTCAGCGTAGTGAAATAAGTAGATCTAGGTTTAACTAAGGATCGGTGGACCCCGGGGTCAACATAATGAAATAAGTAGATCTAAGTTTATTTTATAATAGGACTGGCGGAGCCCGTGGTCAAAGTAGTGAAATTATAAGTAGATATATATAGGTTTAATTAAGGATTGGAGGACCACGGGGTCAATGTAGTGAAATCAGTAGATCTAGGTTTAATTAAGGATTGGTGGACCCTGGGGTCAATGTAGTGAAATAAGTACATGTAGATAGATCTTAGTTTAATTTTAAGGATTGGT